TTTGAAATACTTTATCAGTTAATTATATTCCTAATTTTTCAATTAAATGCATGATTAAATACACTTGCGTTTGATAAGTAATTACAATAACTGCATCCAATACAAGTATGATTTTTTAACATGTTTTAATTAAAATCGTAACTGTCTACGACAAAGTGCGTTACCATGAAATTCCAAATTTTAATTTTTTATTTTATTCTATGGACATATACAACGTGATATATAATGTTTTAAAGCAAAATATGATATCTTTCAGTGTTACCCAAATTCAACTATATAAAATGTTTGTAAAATAACCTGAGGTAAATTCCTCGATCAGAAAACAGCTGTTACAAGATATATGTTGTATGTGGGTGCCGTGTGTAGTTTTTCTGTATTTGTCATATTCACAATCTTTGCATTTACGATTAACTTTTATTTAATATTAAAACACATACACGTATTTCCATACATTAATTTTGGATTGAAAGTCCTGAAGATAAATAAATATTATTTTTGATTTTTAAAATAAAAACGTATTTTATGTTTGTATTTGAAATATAGTTTAAATACTGTATTTTATATAAAAATAACAAATATTCTTTGAAACGGTTATTAATGATTGAAGTATTTTATTTCAAATAAAATGTTTCTTTAAGTATTTTATTTAAACTATTATTTTAAATATAATTATATGCACATTATTTATTACAAATATTTAATTTAAATAAAGTAATTAAGTATTTGGATAGCTTGAATTAGAGCTGAAATAAAGTATTTCAATATATTTCAACTTTATAAAAAATATTGCCTATCTCTGGGGGTAAATGACCCAATTACTGGCAATGAAACTTTCAACTGTGCCCAATTTTTCATTTCTCGATATTTTTTGCCGTAAATTAAAGCAGTTTTATTGTATCTGTATCTGTAGCCTATTATGCGATTAAAACACTTTTCTGTTATGTTACTTATATTTTTATTTTTTTAACAATCGTTTTAGTGAATGCTTGTATTTTCAATACTTGTATTATTACGCACGGTTACAAAATCAGCACCCGTTACTACGCCCGCAATTGCTATGCAGGTACCTCCCACAAGACTTTCATGTTGATGTCCAGAACCAATTACTGCGGACGACTACGAAGTTTTGTAGGTTAGATTCGTTGAAAGTCATTTAGTTAATCAATTATTAATTTCATGATGTAAAGTATGATTCTGGATTGAACGTTTTTAATGTCCGAATATGCTACAATATCTGGAGCACACAAATTTTCGAGTCTGTTCTTAAGTACTTTGTATTACGGTAGAGTGTGCAGTTATGAATTGTGAAAGGTGATTATGCACACGAGATCTGGATTATTCTTTACTTAACCGCCCTAAGTGTGTAAAAAGATATAAATACATTTGTTTTTGACCAAAGTAATTTGATCCGAGCCACCCAGCAACAACCACATTAAATTTCCTACATTGGCCGGAAAAACCGCTACCACACATACAGCCTGGAACAAACAAACAAACAAATTTGAAAGGGTACATCACTTAACCGAACGTTTCGGCACAGAAAATTTCAATGATTCTGTCAACAATAACGTAACCAACATTGTAAATAGCGACGTAGATACTGACACCATAGAGCTTGTCTCCTACGGTGAAATAATTAAAGCTATCAAAAATACAAGACCAAAAAAGGCCCCAGGAGAGGACGGGATCCAAAATATAATATTAATAAACTTTGCTCGCAAAGCAATCGTATGTCTAATATATATTTTTAACAGCTGTCTTAAACATTCATATTTTCCGAAAGCGTGGAAAAATGCTAACATATTGGCCTTTCCTAAACCTGGAAAAGAAAAAAATTTTCCCCAAAATTACAGGCCTATTAGCCTTCTGTGCACTCTCAGAAAAATCTTTGAAACAATAATACTAAATAGAATTTGTAGCTTTGAAGCAAAAAATAAAAACATAATAAAAGAACAATTTGGATTCAAACACCATCATAGTACAATACAACAACTCGCTAGAATTACAAATGAAATCTCAATAAATTATAATCTAAACAGATCAACTGCCATGCTCCTTTTAGATATCGAAAAAGCTTTTGACACAGTGTGGCATGAAGGTTTGATATTCAAACTTAGTAAGGTTGGCATACCATTATATATAATTAAAGTTCTTTATTCTTATCTTAAAAATCGCACTTTTACAGTCTCAGTCAAAAATCATAATTCTAGTTTACAAAACATACATGCTGGAGTCCCACAGGGGTCTATCCTAGGACCAATACTCTTTATATTACATTAATAACATACCGAAGCATACAAATACAAGCCTAGCATTATTTGCAGATGATACAGCGATCCTGGCCTCCTCTTGGTCAAAAAAAAGCAGTCGAATATCTGCAAAAACACAAAACCCTGGTGCAAAAGTACTTTGAAAAATGGAAAATAAAAATTAACGATAAAAAAACCTAACTAATTATATTCAGCAAACGCAAAGATAAGCCATGCGATAAAAATGTTTACATAGACATGAATGGAACCAAAATCAAACCTACCACGCAAGTGAAATATCTAGGAGTAACACTAGACAAGGGTCTTTCATTTACAAAACATATCCAAAATATACGAAAAAAAGGACAAGCAGCATCAGCGCTCTTACACAACCTATTTAATAGGAAAAGCAAAATGTCAATTAAATAGTATATTACGTACCAAGGGACTAAAGCAAGCCAGTTCGTGGCTGTGTAGTGGCGCTACAAGCAATAGCCACTCGCGGGCTTGCTTTAGTCTCGCGGTGCGTATACACTTTTATATCACACTCAGCGGAAAGTTCGTTGCATTGAGAGGGAGAGAGATAGAAGGAAAACAAGCCATTCATTGTGTGGTTATAGGTTATATCACAAGAGTTTTTATAATTGTTTCCGATTGTGATATTTAGGACATTCCTGTATTTTTGTATAAAATATGGCAACAGTTTCGACAGTCATGTTCGAAGAGGATTCTTCTGACGAAGAAAACTTTAACGAGGATAAAGTAGGGGAAGGAAGAGACTTTGACTGTCAACGAAATGCCATTGTTCAAAATTTACTTCCCATAAAATCGAGAGCATTATATGAATATGCATACGCTCGATTCTTACAATGGAAGCATAAAAACAAGGACCTAATTATTTAACTCTTTTAATGAATGTGTTTCGAAATGTAATAAATTCAATAGTTTATTATACAAGATTGATAAAAATGAAGAACTGTAAAAATGCAGTTATTATTTAAAAATGTGTGAACAAAGAAAATTGTATAACAATTTTAATTATTTCCATTTGTTCAGAATCTCATGTTTTTTTTTGTATAAAATACACCAGCAAACAGTACATTGGCTTCTTTTATCTTGTTGATATTTCCCGCCCTCGCTATGTTCGAGCACCGAACTACTCCAGGCACTTATTGGTTTGTGTATATAGTAATATACAGTAAGATATAGATACGCATGCGTACACGCACTTATTACACAGTTTCTGTCCCTGTATACAGGGAGAACAGTACGAACTTTACGCTTAGTGTGATATAAAATAAGTTATTAATTTACAAAGTGATTATACGACCTGTGCTATTGTACGCTTCACCGGTGTGGAGCAATACTTGTGAAAGCAACTATTATAAACTAGAAATAATCCAAAATAAAATACTAAGGAAAATAATTAATGCCGAACTCAGAACTAGCAATAAAAAAATTAGGAATCAACTTAGAATAAAGACAATCAAAGAAATAGTACTTGATCACACCAATAATTTTTACAAATATCAGTTACACAAGGCAGACGCCCTCGCAGATTTTAAATTTTATAACAAAGAAAATGCACCATTTAAAATTACAACACAAACTACCCTACCATATGTTGCGCAGTGACCATCAAGAGCAGCAATACGCTAGTCAGTAAGTTCTCTTGTTACCTAGTTTTAAGTTTTAGTAAGTAAGGCCAAACAAAATTAATGTGTTTTTTACCGAATTCTTTTTCAGAAAACCCACAAACCATAATAAGTAACATTCATATATCGTTCATAATTTATAAAATTAAAAAACAAAGTATTAACTTAGAGTAAAAGCGCCAACATCTGAACCTAAAACTAACACAAAAATTACAGTACAGCATACTAATCACTAAGTGAAATTATGTATATACTCTGTAATCAAATGTAATAAATAAAGAGATTTTAAAAAGTAAAAAAACAAAGTAATTTTAATTCAGTAATCAAATACAAATACAATCTACATCAACGTTTTGGAACTGAAAGCCACTTAGTTCTGATTAAGTAAAATTTGCTTGTTGTTTAAATCACCTACGTGCTCGAACCATAGCTATGGCTCGAACAAAGGGGACCTTAGCGTGTATTTCCATTGTGCTCTCCCTCAGCGCGCACAGCTTGCTGCGCACTCGTTTTGGAGGCAAAATCAGGTATTCGCTGTGCGCAAGTCGATAGTGGGCGTATTGGCGCTGGCTGTTACTTTTAACACGCATTCTTAAGGATAAATCCTGAAATTTTGCCAACGGCGTCCACGTGAATTACTTTTATTCCATAAGATTTAACATGCAAAGTTCAATGGGGGTGTATATACTTACCATAAAAAGGGATGCATACACCGTGATATGTATACTAAGGGAGTACGTAGTCCACAATGTAAAACGTACTCTCAGCTTACTGCGCAGTTGCGAACTCTTTTTAAAGGCAGTATGTATGGAATGCACCCTGAATATTGGCGGGATGCTAGAGCTGAAGGCTGCTCTCTCCATTGGTCTTGTAAAACTAATATCACGGGCGCAACGAGTTTCTGCTTTCTTATCTAAGAACGAATAATAGGTTAACAGGGTGTTTGGCGCGCTTAAATTCCGCTCTTTGAACGTAACGTGACTGCCTGAATGACGATAATTTTTGTACTGATTTTATATGATTCAATTAATTTAATTACGTTTGAACAAACTTGTAGTCCTAAAAAGGACTGATTGTTGTTAATAAATAAATTTAGATGATTACGAGCTTTTCTCGGTCTTCTTGGGTAGAAGAACAGCCTGGATATTGGGCAAGACACCACCTTGAGCGATGGTAACTCCAGAGAGCAGCTTGTTTAATTCTTCGTCATTGCGGATGGCTAGTTGGAGATGACGAGGGATGATTCTGGTCTTCTTGTTGTCACGAGCTGCGTTGCCAGCCAACTCAAGAACCTCAGCGGCCAAATATTCCATGACGGCGGCCAAGTACACAGGCGCACCGGCACCCACTCGTTCGGCGTAGTTGCCTTTACGCAATAGACGATGGATACGTCCAACGGGGAACTGGAGTCCAGCACGAGTCGAACGGGTCTTGGACTTTCCCTTCACCTTGCCACCACCTTTGCCACGTCCAGACATGATTCTAGTGAGGTTGTAAACTTGAAATCGAAGTCTAACTGTGCTGCACAGTTACTGTATAACGTCGGAGCAGCCGAGAGCCCCCTTATATAGGCCTTCCAGTTGCTCTCCCGAAGCATGCCCCTACTCTTCGAGAACGGAAAAACAGCTGCACGAAACAAAGCCATTGTAGAGAGAGACTCGCCGCTGCCGCCTCGTGGCTCTGAAAAGGTAGGGATGGATTTCGGAGAGAACGTTTCGACGCTCATAAAACGAGAGTCGAAACCGTGCACTAGCATACTGTTTCTTTGACTTTCTTTGAAGGACGTCGATACAATTTTCGCATCATCATGCCACCCAAAGCATCTGGGAAAGCCGTGAAGAAAGCAGGAAAAGCCGTGAAGAACATCACCAAGGGTGACAAGAAGAAGAAGCACAAGAAGAGGAAGGAGAGCTATGCTATCTACATTTACAAGGTATTAAAGCAAGTCCACCCCGACACTGGTGTCTCTTCCAAGGCGATGAGCATCATGAACAGCTTCGTCAACGACATTTTCGAGCGTATCGCCTCAGAGGCTTCTCGTCTGGCCCATTACAACAAGAGGTCCACCATCACCTCCCGGGAAATTCAGACTGCCGTGAGGCTCTTATTGCCTGGTGAATTGGCTAAGCACGCCGTTTCTGAGGGCACCAAGGCGGTGACGAAGTACACCAGCTCCAAGTAAATTGATTAGTCACAAAAACAACTGGCCCTTCTCAGGGCCCCAAAATATTCCAATGTAAACAACTATTGCCATTTATCATTATATGCTCCATGCCTTTTTGAACAACCCCTAAAGGTAAACAAATAATGTTGCCCTTGTCACGGCCCTATTTTTTTCGTTGCGCCTTAAAGACTGGGTACCCCTCCTTTCATCCCTGAAAAAGCAAGTCATCCATCAATCTGCATATTTTCCGATTTTTTCTTCCCTCCCCTTTATTTTTCTTTTGCTAGGCTTCTAAGAGACCGATACTTAAAGGTTCGAGGTTTGTTGCAGTTGGTAAACTTCAGGTTTGTCTGGTGAATCCAACGAGGTTCTGGCTTCCATATGAAACAATACAGACAAGCTTGTGTAGATCATGTACGTTGAAGCTGCACAATTAAATTTTTTTTTTTTAATTCTAATGTACTTATGCTCAAGTGCCATGTTGGAACTGACAGCCCCACAAAAAAAAGATGTTTGAAATTAAATTTCCATTTAGGGTGACGTAATTTCGACTTTACGATTTCATTAGGGGTTGTAACGTTATATTTTAAGAGCAGTTTCAGCAGGAATCAAAAAATGTAAATTTTTTGTAGTAATAAATAGTAAAAAAGAAAAACTACTCATTACTTTAAGATTATAAGAATGTAATATATAACGTATTATAAGCCATCACAAAATGCCTCTAAAAAATTGGAACTTACTTTGCAAAAGAAAAACAAACCAACTAGTGTTTTTAAATAATTTTAATTTAAAAAAAAAAAAATTACTTATTTTACCAAGGGGATAAGAAATCGTGCATAAGGAACTATTTACTGTTGTAATCGTCTACTCGCAAGGTGAAAGCAAGCCGACAGATGTACACAGTCATGAACATCGTTGCTTTGTACAGTTCTCTTTCAAATTCCACTGTCGCACGCACACATAGTTACACCCAATCGCTCTCTAAGTATATGAAGTGTAGGAAAATAACAATAGTCAAGCCAAGCCGAAGAGGACCGAAGAGTCACGAACATCTGTAATAAAATTTTCTTTTGCTCTCCAATATTGGTAAAAGTAATGCTAGCATTGACGACTTGAAGACTCTCAGACGGAAAAAAGTGCCATTTACATTTTTTTTTTTTTTTCTTCTAAGGGTAGTCAACAGTGAAAACTTCAGAGGGGGTATGAGTCCGTCACGCTGAATTGTCTATTTTTCCAACTTCAAATAAAAGTAATAGCCTATAGTAATATAATTTCCGTTGTAATTGTAACAGAAAGTTACTTGTAAGTATTTACAAAAGTTTGTACCACCAAAAAACCTCTATAAATAGTGTTTCAATCGACGGGGCCATGAAAACTTCCATTTTTTGTACAATGACCCATTTAGATGTTAATGTAAACATGCCTTACCTACACAATGTGTTTGGGCAGTGGCTCTTTACGTACGTGTACATCAGTGAGCCCATGCAGAGCGGGCAGACACTAACGTGACCAACGGTTATTAGCAGCTGCCTCTCTAGGAGAGGGGGAAGTAGAAGAGAGTCGTGTGAACGAAGTCGACGAAGCTTACTCGTCGGAAAAAATGGCGGTTACTTAAGAATATTCTTCCTCGGAGATTTTGCACTTGTGTTATTTTTGACTTTTGTTGAATGAAAATTTAACATTTATCATCTAATTAAGATGACAGTAGTTGACGTTAAATAAATTTGTGGCCTTGAAAAAGGCCGATTTTGAGACTTTATAAACCTAATTAACCGCCGAAACCGTAGAGAGTACGTCCCTGCCTCTTCAGTGCGTAGACAACGTCCATGGCAGTGACGGTCTTCCTCTTGGCGTGTTCGGTATAGGTGACGGCGTCACGGATGACGTTCTCAAGGAATACCTTGAGGACACCGCGGGTCTCTTCATAGATCAGACCAGAGATTCGCTTCACTCCTCCACGACGAGCCAGACGGCGGATGGCCGGCTTGGTTATACCCTGGATGTTATCACGAAGGACCTTGCGATGGCGCTTGGCTCCTCCTTTACCCAATCCTTTTCCTCCCTTACCACGACCAGTCATCTTGATACAGCTGGAAGAAATTGGCACTGAACTGCTAGACCTGAGAAGGTTCTCTGACGTCAAGGGGACTTTAAGCCCCTATTTTATAGGCTTCTTCGAAACTTTACCCTCTCTACGACTGTTCGATCGGCAACGGCCCCCCAAACTCCAGTCTCTCTTTCCGACCGGTTTTCGAACGTATAAAAAGGAGGCGCTTCCTAGGCTCAAGCCATTCTCTACACATTCGTCGGTCTCCCCGCTTTGCTGTTATTGTGAAGATATGGCTCGTACGAAGCAAACGGCGAGGAAATCCACCGGAGGCAAGGCCCCACGAAAGCAGCTGGCCACGAAGGCGGCTCGTAAGAGCGCGCCCGCTACTGGTGGTGTCAAGAAGCCACATCGTTACAGGCCGGGTACAGTGGCCCTTCGTGAGATCCGTCGGTACCAGAAGAGCACTGAACTCCTTATCCGTAAGCTGCCGTTCCAGCGTCTCGTGCGAGAAATCGCTCAGGACTTCAAGACCGACTTGCGCTTCCAGAGCTCGGCCGTCATGGCTCTGCAGGAAGCGAGTGAAGCATATCTCGTGGGACTTTTTGAAGATACCAACCTGTGTGCAATCCACGCCAAGCGAGTGACCATCATGCCGAAGGACATCCAGTTGGCCAGACGCATCCGTGGAGAACGGGCTTAAATTATTCCATAAAACAACCGGCTCTTTTCAGAGCCAACAAAAATCAGCGTAGACTTCTACTTCTCGTCACATTTGTATATTTGTGGTTAGTTACTATTTAAGGGAAAAATGTTACGTAGTTCAAACATTAAATAATTGGTTAAATTTTTACCTTTTGATAGAATCTTTCAAAAATGACTTTAGAAAAAAATTACGTTAAAATGTGTAAGAACAATTTTAGGTGTTGAAACCATAGATCAATTACTAATAGTACAATTGCCTTATATGGCAAGGCCAGTTCATTGAACCAAGAAGTTCTGAGAAAGAGTATCAAAAATCGGATAACGACGAGAAGTTTCCAATAACTGTGTTTTACTAATTGATTTCTTGCATTATACATCACATTTCATTCTTCATCACTAGAATCCGTGATATTATAAAAATGAATA